GAGGAGGGAGAGCCTGGAAAGAGACTAAGGTGGAATAAAATCAAGAGAAGTCATTTGGGAAACTCAGTGTTAATGGGAGGCTTGGAGGTTCCCACAAAGCCTTCTTGAGAAAAGAGTGAAGAATACATCAATTGTAGAAAAACCAATAAAATTGAGAGAGCAAAAAGAGAGATCTAGACATTTGCTAGACTAGAGAATACCCAACCCTCAAGTATCATTTCCCCCATCCTTTCTCTCCTGTTATTTCCTCCATTGCATTGTGATGGTCTGTATCTGCAGGCAGTGAATGAAGTGAGCTTCAAAGGTGAGATGGTTTTATATCTTCATATCTTTTGCTGGACAGGCTCACTGCATTTGTGCTCAAGTCCTTCGCTCAAGCTCAGTCATACATCTTTGTGGAGAAATCACACATCACAGATGCTCTCACCTGGCTCTCACAGAAACAAAAGGAAAATGGCTGTTTCCAACTCTCTGGATCACTGCTAAACAATGCTATTAAGGTAACACCTTCCCTTTTGTTCTGATTCCTGAGGATTGTGATATGTAGGAGGGATTGATGCTCCTGTTGAGTCTTTCAGTCCTCATTATATGAACTTTAAAATCTATCAATATATTAGTAGTATTTTTAATGAAAATAGAGGTTTGAAAAAATAGAATTTACCCATGTTGATATCTGCACAATTCACAATATCCAAACTACAGAACCAGCCTAGGTATCCATCAGTGGATGAATGAATAAAGAAAATGTGGTAGACATATGCAATGGAGTTTTATTCACCCATAAAGAAAAATGAAATTATGACATTTGCAGGAAAATGAGTGAATCTAGAGACCATAATGTTAAGCAAAAATAAATCAATTTCAGAAGGTCAAAGATCATTTGTTTTATCTCATGTGCAGAAGTTATAGAGTAAAAAGGAAAAGAAAGATGGAGAGGATCTCAGGAAAAAAATCAAAGGAGATCAGTAGTGGAAAGGGACCAAAGGGGTGGGAGGAAGGAATGGAGGTGAGGAAGTGCTGGAGAGTGATATGGTCAAATTATATAATTATCGTGTGTGCATGTATGCAAATGTAGCAACAAAACCCAACATTATGTACAACTATAATGAACCAATCAAAAATATGGAAAAGAAATCAAATGTAGTATATAATTAAAAGTGAGGAAAGGTGAGTTGGGACAGACTTTTATATTTTAGATATAAGGTAGAATGGGAGAAATCAACAATGCAAAACAAACAAACAAAACCTATCTAAGGAAGACATCAAATGCAAAAGGAGAGAGAGCTAGCACACACTGGCTGATGAATGTTGTAGTGTTTGAGACTGTTGCCTCTGATCCTTCCAGGGTGGGGTAGATGATGAGGTGACACTCTCTGCCTACATCACCATTGCTCTGCTGGAGATGCCACTGCCTGCCACTGTATGTACAAGCCCCTTCCCTACACCTCCTTCATGAGTATAAGAAATAAAAAATCACATAACTATGACTCCCTGAGGGAAATTAATTGTGATTTTCATGATATTTAATTTTGGTATATTTCTCTGGAATATAAAGAATTAGTTCCTTTGAGAAGCTACAGGGGAAAATATAATTAGGGGAAGCTAATTCATTCTCTGGTAATTCTAATGTTGCATAGACACATTGGTGTTTTTAATCTGGAGTTAGCATGGGGACAGTTCATGAGCCTGGTTCTGGTACTTAAGGATCACCTTTCATCTTTACAGAATAATGTTGTCCGTAATGCTCTATTCTGCTTGGAAACAGCCTGGGGCTCCATTTCAGAGACCCAAGGAATTCATGTCTATACCAAGGCATTATTGGCCTATGCCTTTGCCCTAGCAGGACAACAGGCCAGGCGGAGTGAGCTGCTTGAATCCCTAGGCAGAGAGGCTGTGAAAGAAGGTAAGAGCTGTTACTGCAAAATTTACTTCTAACAATCACTACTGATCAAAATGTGGGAGAGTACCTCTATTGAGCTCACACCCATCATGCTACTTTAATTATGATGAATAATTAAATTTTATACAACACTTAAATCTTGGGAAACATGGACCATTTTATCAATACATACATTATCAAATTTATGCAACTCAACTTCTAATACAAGACAAGTATATAGACACAGAGTCCATGTGATTGTCTAGAAGCTTAATTTACTTTTTTGGTAAAGATTTGCCTGATGGTGACTACTTAAGACTTTCACTTCATTTGTATCAATTTGTCTGGGAGCACTAACTATAATCATTGCTTATGAATTAGATTTTAAACCGTTCTCTAAGATGAAGATTCTGTCCTTTTCATTTCAAAGAGGATTCAATGCACTGGCAACGTCCTAGGAGCCCCCAAAAAGCTAAGACATTCTATCAACCTCGGGCACCTTCTGCTGAGGTGGAGAT